GTAAAGTTGTCACAGACAAATTGACATTCCAGAAGTGGCAAGTGTGGACTATCAACGAAAGACAAGAAGGGAAGATGTTTGAGTGGGGAAATAATGATGTCTCATTTATAGCTGAAGGTGGAAATCTGACTTTGTGTTTTGCATATGCAAACGCTTTTAGAATTCAAAAAGACTTTAAAGAAATGAAAGTTGTCTTTGACGTCGATGGAGATTACGAATTTTTAATAACACACGTCTTACATGACACGTCACTCACTGAGTTGAATTTGAGTACAATAACACTCATTCAGGCAGGACTACCGACTCACTACATCAAAATAAATGATGGCAAAACTATTGAAATGAAAATTGCATTCAATTTAAAAACACTGCAATTTTCTAACGTCATCACTATCACTCAAAGATTCAGCAAAGGCGCTCGTGTCGTTTTAAAAAGCGCATATTTGTTTAGAGAAGTGGAATTAAATGATACTGATAAATGCAACTCAACTTCATTTGACTGTTTATACACACAATGCACAATCACTAACGAGTCTGCTAATGTTGGTCCATCACCATTCCTCAAAGGGTGTGAACCAGCTTGTGGGATATGTCGAGATGGTTTTATATGTTCTTCATTGGGAAAATGTATTGTAGAAAAGTCGAATAACAAAAGAAATTTCAGTGTGAAAATGGTAGTTTTGTCGGTGGTATTTGCTATAGTTCTGGTGTTGTAATAATTAATTAGCCAAGTCGTATTTTTTTATTAATTTTTGAATAGATATCGTGTTATATTTAAAAATAATATAAAAAAATAATTAAAGTATCATAAAATTGATTATTCATATAATTTTATTGAATAAATATAAATACCAACAGTTTTCTATATAAAATAACTACAATTACTACACGAATATACCAAAATAGATATTACTTATTTTATCATTTATTTAATGATAAAATATTCATTTAATCTAATACAGTATATATTCGATAATAGTCCAGTCTATGTTCCAGTCTTATTCGATATAAGGTCAAATAATAAAAACTTGAATAATTAACAAATAATACCACATTTTGTTTTTTGTCTCAACAAAATTCCAAATTATATTTTCACCCAAAAAATATTTTTGCCATTTTTTATAAAATTTTTGTGATTTATAATATGAAAAACAAATGCTTTATTTTATTAGTATTTATTAATAAACAAAACGTCCGTTATAAAATCAAAATATTGACAGACAACATAAACAGCATTAAAACGAACATATGAAGAGCAATATTGACAACTCTTGGTTTTAAAATAAACATGCGTTGTTTTGTCATAATTCAACACGCTCCAACGACACGTTAATTGACATTATTTCGGTTTTAGATGAAAAACTCATTTGCTTTTAAAATAATTTGAAAAATTATTTTAATTTTTTTTAACTTAATGACAATTTGGTTTATGTATTACCATTTTAAGGTTTTGGACAAAAAAACATTAAAAAATAGCAAAAAAAAGAAGTTGTTATTTTTTGATCTTTTTTTTCAATATTCGATAAGAGACCTCCCTCTTATTTTTGGTCTCTTATCGAATAAATTCTTATATCGAATAGCCCTCTTATTGAATATTCACAGTATTAAATGGAATATTAAATATTCCATATAATATTAGATTTTATTATACAATTGTTTTTTATAATTTATAGTACAATTGAGGTATTTTTACTAAAAAATAATTCGATTTTTTTAAATTAAAAACTTTATAATTCATAGTTAATTGAATTATTTAATTATTATTTGTTTTAAAAACAAACAAAACATGAAATTATTATGAAAATAAATACAAAATTTTGACATTTGAAAAAAACACAATGAACACCTCTTCTTGTGATGCCACAACGCCTTTACATGCTGAAAATATCCAAACAATTAACGATGATAACATTCCAGACAATAAAATTCCGGCAGACATATTGCAAAAGATAATTGGTGAGTTGATGATGAAATATAAGAAAGATGGAGTTCTCTTAAATTTGGAAGTCGATAAAAAACTGACGCCAATAAACAGTTGTGTTGGTGGTGTTCCCTATTTTCCAAAGGGCATGGAATACCCAATGGCAGATGGTCAACCGTTGATTCTTTTGTGTCAAATCAATTACTCTGAAATGCCAAAATTAGCAAATTTCCCGACAGAGGGCCTCCTCCAATTTTTTATAGGGACGGGCAATTATTATGGGACTGAACACAGCAAATTAATTTATCACAAAACAGTGTCATTGGAGTTAAACCAAAGTGTGCCTCAAAGTATCACAGATGTCTTAAAAAACGCGCTGAAAGAGGACTTGCCGTTTAAAGGAGCCTTTAGACTTACGGGAAAGATAGGAGAGACTTTTGCACTACCAGAAGACAGAGACACCCTCTTTGAAAAATTGGCTATGAAATACTCAGTCAATTCGTGGGATATCGAAGATGACGTTTGCAAAGCTACCGATTCTTTGACTACTATCAAATCACAATATGGGGGATGCCCTAATTTTATTGATGAAAATGTTTACGAGGACGATAGAAATACAAAAGAAGTTCTGTTATTACAACTGGCTTCGGAAGAATATAAAAGAGATGAGCCACGATATTATAAGAATGAATGGAGTAAAGTTAATTATTGCCAATATGGGTCTGGATTCTTCTTTATCAATGGAGAAAAATTGAAGAAGTTGGAATTTGATGATGTCACTTACACGTATGACTGCGATTAAAAGTAATTTAAATAATAAAAAATTATTTTATTTTGATTGATATCATTTGAGTTAAAAATACTTCTCAATAACGTTGTTTTAATATTTTAATTTCATTTCAACACAGAACAACGAAAATGTTTGAATTAAAATTCGTTTTATTTAAATGATTTTAAATAAAAATAAAATCCTCAAACCATTCAATTCAAACATTTTGTATTTATTTCTTAATTGTGGACAAAATAACTAAAACCTTTACAAAACAAAGAATGAAATAACCATGTATGATACATTTATATATTAAATCGCTTTAAACTCTAATTAATTTAATTTCAAGTAAAAAAACAATTTAAAAATAAATTATTAAGTTATTTTCTCTTTATTTAATAACTGAAATCATTTCAAAACGAATTTGTATAATAAAAACACAATCGTATAAATTCATTCTATCATGGCAAGAGAGTTCTTCATTTCTACATACATTCAACTCAATGAAAAAGAAAAGACAATGACTCCTAATATGGCAAACACAGCAACTGTGAAGATATATAAAATATCAAACGAGGAATTACAAACAAACATATTAATAATGTGGGAATTACTAGCAGATGGTAATAAAATAAATAAAGGTGTCTTTGTGTGTGCACTCCAATGGTTCGATTATTTAATTTATAAAAACAAAGATATAACGTCTATATTGTTATTTGCAGTTGTATATTTTGTCTTATCAGAAGACGGCGGCATATCTTTAAAAACAATAAAAATGTTAACTAAAAATATGAAAGGACAATCATTTTCTTCAACGAAAGAAGAATTATTTAAAACGTTTAACAAGTCTAAAAGTGGTGTATTTGACATGAGTGAATTTCTCGAATTTTTAAATTCATATTACAAATTTATGGAGGGGGATATTGTCGATTTTGTCAATAAAATACAATATAATAACGAAAAAGATGTGTTTAATAAGATGCCAATGAAAAATGGGAAAGTGTCCTTTCAAGATGTCAGAAATATATACAAAGAAAAGTACACCATTAATGAAGATATTGTAATGAGATACTTTGATATCTTACTGAATATCATAACTGATAAAAACTCTTCAATTTCCTTTAAGCAATTTACAGTGTTATACCAAGTCGTTGAATTGTTAACAACTAAAGTTGCAGTTGTTGATACAAACTTTTTTGCTGTGTGCATTTTTAGAATCTTAGATAAAAAATGTGAAGCTAAAATAGACAAAGCAAGTGTTTTAAAATTTGTCAAATTTCATGGAAAACAGCCGAAAAAT